TGCCTTGCAAAGCAAGATTTCAGTTTGTCGATGAGTGAAGCTAGTTGTCAACACTCTCTCGGGGGACCAGAACACAAATGCATGTCATAGTTTATGAACTTTTTATTGTAAAATGTTTGTACATACCATCAGAGACAGTCCCCCCCATCCCAACAGGACCTCAATAACACCCTTAATATTATAGTGTAATGTATTTGGCGGTGTGCTTCCCCTATTATAGGGGAAGCTATTGTGAGGACCAGTGAAAAATTTAAATTCATCATAGGTCATGTAAAATAATAGCTAGTAATGGCTCCCATAACTAAAACATTTTGTGCATGTGAATAGTAGATGAAGGTGAAAGAGGACTGAGTGCACTGAGCTGGTGTATTTTAGCCACATGAGGGCAGACATGCACACACACTAGTATTTTGACTGTAGGCTGATAAACTCACTGGGCCAGTGAACATCCAACAAATCATCCGTTATCCGCTAGTGTTCAGTCTCAGCCCTCCAGAGGAAGACCCATGTACCTTGAGCAGGAGGATCTACATGTGAGCTAGCACACACTGTTTACTGGCAGGCAGGAAGTGGGCGGATGGAGGAAACCCAGACGCAGTGACTGATCACTCATCCTCCCCACGTGGTTATGGCATGTTTACAGGACAGCAGCCTGGGGTTTTTTCCTCTCTATTCGGATGCAGTGTTATTCATATCAACCTACCATCAGAACTCTCTGCCTGCTCTTTTGTGTGCTTATGTTATACAGAGTCATTCAAACTAAAGCTATGTCCTCAAAAATGTTCATGAAACATATTCTCATGTAAAATATGAAGCGCTAACCCAATCGCTTTACCTTTGTAAGTTTAAATTATCCTACTAATATTGCATCTTTATACTTTTAGATTAATATAACGAGAATAGATTATTTCATAAGTGTACATTTTTGACATAACTCTGATTCCTTAAATGTCTCACAACTAAAGGCTAGCTGTTCAGGCATAGTAAAATCTGTTACTTCTGCACCTTTGGTCAGCCGGCTAATAAAAAAACAACTACAACTTTTACTTTTGACGCACTTAAAATTAAGACAAATTTGGTTGTTTGAAATATTAATCAGAGTTTTAAACTACAGTTTGCAAGCTACAAACTGCCTGGTGAGCTTTTCAAACAAAAGTACACAAATTTATGTTAGATCTTTGTGATTATAGTGGAATCATAACAGTTTCATGCAAGAATATCATGACAATCTGATAGACAGTTGTGAAATGAGTTTAATGAAAAATGATAGTGTTTAAAAGTCATCATGTGGAAATGCATGTCTTCTGGATAAAAGTAGGAAAAATTGGCAGCTAATATTTAACAATTAATAATTTATCAAGATTGTATTTATGAGGAAATTTGAAAGAATTTCTGAGAAAGAGGTAATTTTTCTTGAAATGCCATACATACCCTAAATTACAGAATCACATATACAATCTTTATATATATCCTTTCTTAAGCATAAAAATTTCTATTTAGACATTAGTTGATGTTTGTACCAAGAACTGTCACATAAGTAAACACAAAGAGCAAATCTGTCTTGTTTTATATAAAGTGCCTGCCCTCTGTTTGCATGTTTTCTGCAGCATCTACGCTGCAGGTAGACTGCTGTAAAGCTGTCAATACACTGACGTGACCCATTGCAATAATAATAAACAGGGCCTGCTTTACCTTGTTAGAAAATGAAGCAAATTAAATAAAAATATTAACTTGCCATATATAACCTTAGCAAAAAGGTCATAATGGATGTGAAGCATGCTGCTATAAAATACATAAGCTTATAAATACGATAATATCATAACGCTTTATAATATAAGGACAAGGATGTAACTTGCTGAGAGCATTATAGATTTAAGTTACCTCGTATCATTGTACAGACTTCACAGGTCATTAAAGTCTAACAGTTATTGTCTATGGGTCTCAGCAGTACCTTCACAATAACACAACACAGTTACTTGTTTCCAGGCACAGCTGTAAATTGGCAGTTTCACATACCTCGACCATTAAACAGGACATTTAACCGTCCCGACTGCTTGCAGAGAACAAGTGAAGGCGACGGAATCTGGCGGCGTGTTTTCATGTCAGGAGAAACGCAGGAGAGCTCCGCATTCAGCAGGAGGAGAGCTGACGGAGCCCTAGCTGACACCTGTTTATTATAAAGCCAGCTGTTTCATGCTCCTCTCGTTAGTGACCTTGTTCACCCTGTGTGGGAGCAACAGGAGGCTGTTTAAAGAAAACCCTAGCGGTGTTTTCTCCCGCAGCGCCTGTCCGCGTGCTCTACGTGTGTATTTGATCATGAGCTGAACCGCAGAGAGCGGAGAGGGGAGGGGCTGGTTGTAGCACCAGGGGGGCGGGACTTAAGATGGAGTGGACCAATCAGAGATCGGCAATGTCACAGCTTTCATTAAGATTGGTTGGTTAGAAATGTAGGTAAACAACATGGTTTGTATTGTGATTACTACACTGATAAGATTTACTGAAGGTTTATTACCTTAATTAATTACAATTGAAAAGTAAAAGAAGCAAAACCAAACAATTAAAAGAATAGTAAAAAAAAAGAGAAAAAAATTAGCCATCACGAAAAAACAAAGATTGAAGACAAGTTAAAAATGATCTGATAAATGAATGTTTTACCTTTAAGGTGAAGAATTGTAAAGGTTTCAGGAAGTTGATTTTAGAGCTGTGAAAGAGAAATTAAATGATGCCTCAGTATACAGATCTCTGGTGCCCAAAGTGGTCTTCATGGTTCATTTTTGACATATGAACCGTAACCATAAACTTTTTATTCAAAACCAAGATGCCCTACCGCCTTATACCAATGATTACCAAACGTCTCATTTTAAACCATCTACTTCCTGATGTTTTTCAGTACACTAATAAGAGCATTTTGGATGAGCAGCAGCTGTCTGATTGACTTAATGTCATTTAGGACAAAGTCCATGACGATGCCTGTCTTACTTGTTCTTTTGCATGCGCTTTAGCCTTGCTGAGTCTAGTTATATAAAACTGCAATAAGTTCACCAAGACCAACCCAAATTGCTAAAACTTTAAAAAAAAAATTCTGAAACTTAATTTTTCCACACACAAAAAAAGAAAAAGATAGATCTTTAATTTTAAAAAAAAATGTTTCTGAGCTTTTAATCATCCTTGACCTCCCAACTAACTGGATAAATAGATGGAATTATAGATGGGTTAGGTGTAATAAAGAGCAATAACACAAAAAATAAGTATTGAATATGCTTATTAATAAGTTTGAGATTACAGTTTAGACAAATTAGTACAGGAAGGTTAGTTCTTCCATGGTTTCTATGTGATTGTCTTTGTGGACAAATTACTGATGCTCAGATTTTAATCTGCATTTGGAGCAAAGGTCAACATCTCAGGCTGTTTGTGCCTCGAGGATTGGAAGTACTAAAATAGAGGACAGACACACTTCTCTGAGGTTTTTAAAAGTCTCCATAATAAATCTTTCACAATTTTCAGTGAATACTCAGACTGTTAATAAAGATCTTATTGTTTAGAAATCTATTCTCTGAGGCACAACAACATCACATGGATATCACTAACTAAACCATATCCAGAAGCAAGTGTACACCCAGTTTTGAACAGTTGGGTCTTTCTTTAAGGTGTGAATTATGAAACTGATTATATCAAGGCTTTATGAACTATTTTATCTGAAGCAAGTTTTGAATGTTTTTTGTCTGTTTAAATATTTATGCACTTTACTTTCTATGCCATGTGGCATAGGTAAATGACAGACAATTCCCTGCACAGTTTAGGACCTTCTATGAAGGTCACTGAGGAGTGACCTCCACAGTCACTCCTCAGTGACCAGAGGAGTGACTGTGGAGGTCACTCCTCTAGTCACTGTGGAGTAACCTCCACAGTGACCAGAGGAGGTTACTGTGGTCAGACAGTGTTACGACCTTGACAGACAATGCCTGGTCTGCAACAGTGTTTGCAACACATACCGTGCTTTGTAACATTGTGTGCATGAGGTAATAATTGGAATTCCCTTCACATGCCTTCAAAGCTATGAGATGTTACTCTCTTCACTTACAGAATGTCTGCCTTCTCATGGTCCTAAGGGTCTGGTCCGAACTGGGGAAAAGATCTTTTCAGTAGGTGGCCTTCTTCTGCCTGGAACCAGTTGCTGAATCTCTCAGGTGTCCAGGAGCTGGTGTCTCTGAACACTTAGAAATGTATAAATCACCTGGAAATAATGTTCCAGATGCTTTTGAAATGCATACTCACTTTTATTGTATGAATTAATGTTTGAAAATAGTGTCTAAAACTACACATGTTGCTGTGTTTTCAAGGATCCTCGTGCAAAGATATTTTTAACCTCAGTCTTTCCTGATTAATCAAATCTGAAAGGAAATCAGGATGGTACTTAAGAAAATAACACAAACAGAAATACAGTTTTCTAAAGCCCGACAGCATTGTGGTCATCAGTGTTAACTGTGTTACGTAACTTGTCCCCAAACACATGCCTATTGAACATTCTTTGGACAAACAGGTTGTAAAATAATTAAGAGGACATTTGTAGATAATGGCAACATGTTGTATGCATTACGATCTGTAAAACAAAATTGTTGAGTTGATTGGTGCTCATTGGATGATAATGTGGCCAAATACAGTGGGTTGGATAGGGCGGACAGAGGGATGATGTTTGTGCATTTAGTGCTGCCACCTAGTGGAAATGAAGAGTGTTCCTTTCTTTTCGTTTTTTTAATGTTTTTTAAACCAAAACGCCCTTAGTCTAATCAGTTTTGTTTTATTTTTTCCTGAGCACTTTTTAGTTACGTGTAACCTTTAACATTAATAAATAGCATGTTGTGTCTGCCTGGGCATGACTGGGGTTTGCTTCTCTCTCCAAAAAGTAGAGGCCAACCTTGAGCAAAAGCAGTTTGTGAAACCCTTACCGTCTCCATTTATATATTGAAAACTCTTCAAATAAAAAGCAAAAGATTCAAAGTGGAAGTATTTTTTAATTTTTAATGGCCCTGAGAAGTTTCAGAAATGTCTTTGCAGAATGATCGCATGATGGGAGGCATTAAAAGAAGAGCCTCTTTTACATATGCTAAGCAGAAAAGAAAATTGCCTCTTGTGCTATGTTGTAAGATTTTGTCTTTTCCGAAAGGGATGACACACGACAGAGTAAAAATAATGATATTGTACATGATGCGTTTGCAGAAAAAAAGAAGGCTTTTATTAAAGACAATAGATCAGAGTTTCTCTGGAACAACCTGCTGCTATGTACAAAATTTACAGATTTTAACTGTATTTAGGGAAAAACAAGCAACGGGAAACATTTGGCGTAAAACAGTGCAAATGTACTTAAACAAAAACAACTTTAAAAATTGCATAGAACAGACTTCTGAATATTAATCTCCACGATTTTCCTCAAATATTTCTGCAAATATGAAGGTAGGTAGACAAAAGTCTGCCTGCTTCAGTATTTGATCACATTATTATTATTATTATTATTTACAAACAATAAAATATCTATGTACAAAAATAGAAGCATTATCTGAACCTCTGTTTATAGTAACAGTTTTGAAAAGGTTCTCAATCCCAACACATAACAAAAAAGAAAAGTTAAAAAGACGTACTCAGTAGTTTCTGCAGAAATCTGTTAAGAGGCTTGTTCATCCTTAATGAACATCCTCACAAGTGACGTGGCATGAGTTTAACTAGTTAATAAATGGCGACGACCCTGGCTGCGTCTGGCGTGATGGGAAACCTGCAACAGAAGAACGGGGTTAGTATTTCTGAGGCAGACGCGGGTGGGGAGAAGGGAATTTGGGTTGTAACTGTGGAAACGTACGGGAGGCGCATCTGGGCTGCCGAACGGAGAGAGTTCCAGTGAATTCTCTTTGTCTGAGGAAGTGTTGTGACGGTGCTGAGCAAACTTTGTCTTTAGTGCCCGAGCAATCAGAGCGGCGGGGTCATTCAGCAAAGCAGTATCGCACTTACTGCTTCTCCTCCTGACTGGAGTGCCTCCTGGTGATCTGTAGAGAAAACGGGCTCTAATGTTTAACACAGAGCAAGTTTTTTGCGGCAGTTAAACAAGGAGTGTGGTGCACGCAAATACTTCAGATTGGAACTTTCAAATTCAAGAACTGCTTTTCTCAAGGTCCTTTTAAAATACCTTTGGTGGAACATCAACTCAACTTTTCTCTGCTATCTAAAGAAGGTGTTGTGGAAATAATGCAATTTATTCTATTTTTATAATTATTTTTTTTTACTTGGTTCTTGCAAGTTCTGATCGGCTAAACACGCCCCCATAACGACTCCTGCCCCTCGCTGCTGCGTGAGACAGCTTCTGATACTCGGCAAAAAGAGAGACAGAATCAACCAAGAAAACTTCTTTGAAAAGGCCAGAAGATTTCTGGTGACGTATCAAAGATGGTTCTGAACCTCTGTTCTACTTCCCTCTTAAGGTTTACTCACAGATTAAACGATATTCAAAATGAGTTCATGAATCCCTTTCTTTAGTTTATTTGAAACTTTCAGAAAGATTAGATCTTCAATAAATTGATTTATTATTTTGCAGATTCATTCTCTTAGTTTAAAATTCCCCAATTCAATTAAGTGTGTAGAGCAGAATTAGCTTATCTGTTTTTTGCCACCTATTTTTTTTATTAGATTTTTCACTAATCTAATTAGTGATTAGATCTTTGTATAGTGAAAATGAAATTTAATTCCTTAAATCAATTACTATTGTTTTTTCCCCCCCATCAAAATCTAATTTTAACTGCAACTATTTTTTATTCACAAGTCAACAGATCTTAATCCTGAAAATTTTACACAAAAATTGCCTTTATTCTTTTCAGACACTGCCAAATTGAAAGGTCAAAAATTCATCCATCACTCTGCTTCTGAAATACGACACCAAATTATATACTGTAATAAAGTTTTACCTAGCTCAATCATGCCACAAGAAAAACCTAGAAAACAAAAAGTTATTAAATTGCAATAAACATCAAAAGCTCTCCTTGAGAACTGACCAAACTCTTACCTCTGAACTGAGCGCAGTTTGACTTGATTTAAGTCCCTCAGAACGTCCAGCATCGAAGGAATCAGTTTGTTTTCCATGTTTTTGCTGAGCCCTGAGTGCTGGGCCTGAAGCTGACCCTTATTAGAGTTGTTGTTCCTGCGCTCTTTGATCAGATCCATCACAGATGATTTCTCGCTGAAGGAGCTTTGGCATGGCAGCGGCAGCGGGGGAGGTGGTGGAGGAGGGGGAGGAGCATGACGAGGTGTGGAGGTGAGAGCCGGGAGTGGAGCAGGGGACATCAGAGGTGAAAATGGAGCATTCTGGGTCTCAGTCAGAGCTGAAGAGTAAGGAATGGTTCATTAAGATCATTGTTTGTTTTTTTTAGAGTGTTTGGATTGCAGAAAAATCTCAAATGTACCTGAGGATGGAGCTGCAGTAACAATCATGGCGATCTGAGCCCGAAGCTTGAGCAGCTCACTCTCCAGCTGGGTGATCTTCTGCAGGGCTTCAGGATTAACCCTCTGTCGCACACATCCTCCTCCTCCTCTTCTCTCAGCTTGATTCTGAGGCAGCCTGGGAAATCTCATCAAGTCTTGACTAAAAATGCCATCTTTATTTGGAGGTAAATGGTTCCTTGAAAATCACACACAATAAAAGTAATAGTGTATTACTTTCCTTTTTATCCTGGCATTAAAATATGTTTTAATGTGTACATGTGTACAAACATGTGGCCACTCTTCATTATGCTTTAGTTATAATGGATAACTATTAAACTTAAAAAGCTTAAAGTTAGTCTTTCCTTCGTGAAATATTTAACAAACCTTGTTTTAAGACTATAGCAGATAACTGAAACATAATTTGAAACTTTCTGATAACTTCCTCTACCTTTATAAATGACACAAATCCTGAATAATTCATCTGTAAAACAAATCTCTCACATGAGAATTCAAAAGAGAAATGCAAAAGCTGATACAACCTTGCTGCACAAGTCTGCACACCCTCTTTTTTTTTTTTTTTGACTGACATTTTGAAGTGTGCAGTAAAATCTAGGAATGCATTATATCTCTGCATCTATGTCACTTTCTACTGATGTTAGTCATGTTTTAGGTCGTTGTATTGATCCGATAAGGAAAAGTGGATCAACATTAAGGGCTGATGTTTATTTACATTTTGTTGCTTTGCACTCCTTGTTTATGACAAGGAGTGCAGTGCAAGCTATGCAGTGCAGGATTATGGGGGTGTTTAAAGCAGACAAGCAACATAGGCAAACTGGTCGCTTTTGAAAGTCTGGGAAAATATACATATAATATCAGTTAACGGCCATAACTGCAATATTGATATTGGACATCAACCCAAATTTAAAATCCTAACCCTAACCCTTGCAAAAATCCTAGCAAAAAAACTAGCCCTAAAATTTATAATTATATACCTATTATCATAAATAATTCAAAAGATTAATGAAATCTTTTAAAGTTAGATTTATAACCAACTGCAGACATAGAAATGACTAAGCTTTGCAGCTCATAAAATTACATATTATTGTTTTTTTTTTTTTTTTTTACAGGCTATTACTAAATAAGTTTCTAGTTTAACTTGTGTTTTCCTAATATATAAAAAAGAAAAACAAAACAATTATAGATTTTTAAAAAAGTATTTTGATCTACTGATGCATCGTCATTCATTGTGTACCTGGTTCTGGCAAAGCTCTCCCCCTCATAGTCAAACACCCACATGACATCTGCAAATGTCGGTATGGCGGGTGCATTAGCTTCTACTTCAATGTATCCATGGTGTTTATAAGTAACCAGGGGGATCTGAGATAAATAAAAAAAGTCACATAGTTAAGATCCTGATAGGAAATAATTATTATATGTTTTTATCCAACTCTAAATATTTTAAGTGTGATTTTTGTGTCAGTAAATGTCAGAAAATGGTAGGAATCTACATAACTTGACTTTGTAAGGTTACAGAAAGCATTTCTTGTGGCCAAAAAGGATTCTTATTTAATTAAAACAGAAACCCATTAATGTGCAATAAGAAATACATGAGCAAATACCTTAGCTCTACAGCGCTGTGTGTGAAAAGTAATTACTGGATCAATTAAGGAAAGCTACTATGAAAAACAAAGATTGTGTAACTATCTCGGGATAAACACAACTTTATGTTCCAATTACCTGAAAATGGACACGTGGAGCGGGCTTCAGTGGGAGATTCGTGCCGATCATTCGTACAATGCTGCGATACTGACCGCACAGCTGAGAGTCCCACACAGGAACAAGCTGCAGTCAGGATGAAAGATAAGTAAGAAACAAACTTAACAGAAGTTAAATGTGACGCAGCGGTGAGGAGAGAGATAACAAATATTACAGTTATTGAGCTGCAAAACAGGGCTGCAGCGTCAGCAGGCTTACCATTTCTGGAGGCACACCAAAATAGTCCAGGACCATGCGCAGCACATCCAGAATATCCTCTACTAAAGACATGGCAAGGACTTTTTCCTGCAGCAGCTGATGACCGGAAAGCTTCTGTTTCTGCTGACGGATTAAGCGTGGGGCCACCACAAAGAGAAGTCACATACCTTACACCTGAAATGACCACATAACACACTCAACTAAGATTTGATGACATAAAATTCCAGAACCCCAAGACAGACATTTTAATGTAGAATAAGCTCACTTTTTTTTTTTTTTTACAAAATAGATCAATCCAAATCATTCATGCAACAAATTCAGTCAGTGCATGGTCTATTTAAAAGGTTAAAAACTTGTATATCATATATTAGCACACACAAAGGGGCATGAAAAAACCAATCCAACACAAAATGTCCATAAAATCCTTTGGAGAGGTTAAAAAAAACCAACAATAATAATGTGAATGGGCAACTGCATAAATTCAGAAAGAATGTAAAGATTCAACCTTTTTATGCTGATTGATATGTGTGTATGTATTATGCACGAAGGACAGGACTCTCTTCGATGTTCTAATGTTCTCTGTTTTAAGATGAGGAAATCTTAAAACAGAGATTTCCTGTTTTAAGAGGAAATCTTAAAACAGAACTACACGAGAGACAACAAAGCAGATTTAAATTAAAACTGAACAGAAGGCAAATATTTCACCTGCAGCGCTGGTAATGCAAACCCTTTTAAACTGGTGCCATTTTAATCCAAAACATGGTCACAACCAACCTCATTTATTGTTAATGCACAATTTTCACCTGAATGCATCAGAAACTGATGTTCAGGAAGTCTTTCAGATCTTTAATCGTCTTCTTTTAAATTAGTTCAGCTGCAAATCCTGATATTTTCAGGTATCGGAACTAGAAGATAACTTTAAGGGATAAGAAGTGCTCAGTCCCGCATGCTTTGAGGGACTGAGAACTGCAGTCCCGCAATCCATGGGGGAAAGCTGCAGAGGTCATCAAAAGTAAGTACCTGAGAACGCCGCAGCGAAGATGAGGTTTCAAAAGCATAAAACATAAGAACTTACCGTCAACTCTTCTTATAGTCCGAGAAGCCACATGTTAATAGCCAGGCATCTCCTCAATCCTTTACCCGAAATTGAAATTAAGCCAGTCTAGAAAAGGCAATTTGTTTCCTCACGCGTCTAAGTAGCACATCCGTAAAGTCAAATAATGCCGCAGTAACAAAACTCTTCCTGATTGGCTGCAGATTCAGGAGTGGGACGAATATCCAATAGGAGAGGGCGACTTACAAACGCTTGCCACCGTGTGACAACCAATAGTACGTCGCGAAAGGAAACCCACCAAATTTGTATTTTTCTGCACGAGCTACTTCTTCTCTTTGGTAAGGAAACGTATTTAAGCTCCATTTAATAATGTCTAATAATCATCTGTTTCAATAAAGGGTACTTTTATTGAATATAATTAGCGAAGATTCATGGTTTAAAGTTTGTATAATCAATGGAATGTATTTTAAGTGGCATAATTTCTTAACGGTGTCATAAGATAGTAGTTAACGTCGTTAGCTTGCCATAATGGAACACAGAGGATCGGATCGTTTATGTATATTTTACAGATAACCCTTTTCCCAAAAATAAATGTTAAACTTTACTATCTGATTATATTTATCTCTTGTCTCTTTTAAAACAAGCCGCATTCTTGAGGTCTAAGCGCTTCAAGATAACTCTTACCATTTGGTCTTTGACGTCAAAAATGGCCGGATTATCATTGAATGTCTCTTCCAGATTCAGGTTTGGCCAGATTTTCAGACATGATGGATGCACTGTCTGTGGTGTGTCAGCTGCGGGACCTGGCGTCTGAACCACAGAACCGAGCTGTGATTGTCCAGGACCAAGGTTGTCTTCCGGGACTGGTTCTCTTCCTCGACCACAAGAATCCAGAAGTGCTGTTTGCAACCCTGCAGGTACAGAAATGTTGCAAAAGTGCCGATTCCCCTTAATTTTTTTTTTTTTACATAATCAAGGTGTGTATTTCATTCGATTTTTTTTTTGTGAATTGTAAAGTAGAAGTAATTTTTCTCAAAATAAGTGCTTATATATTCTGTCCTCCTGAGATCTGATCCACAAGAATTTATATTTGTTTTGACCAGTCAGTCATATTGAACAACCCAGTCTATTTTGTCTGAGAAATAAAAAAATGTACAATGCATAATCTTTTATTGTTTTTATTTATTTGTACTCAGACTCTTCGTTATCTGGCTGAATTGCCTCTCAATGTACCCATTATGAAGAATGAGCTGGGTATGATGGCGAGCTTGGAAACTCTTATCAGAAGGTAAGACAATTTGACAATATTAATATATTTTCATCAAGGTGATACATTTATTCTGGAAAATATGGCATGACCCATTGTAGATTAGCAATACAGTATATGTAAGTGAGGTTTTTCCCCACACAGAGAGGGCCTGTCTCTTGATATCACAGCTCTGGCTAAAGAGGTTTATGGCATTCTGAGAGCACCTGCTAATCCAGCACCACGCACACCAGAGAGGGAGAAGAGAAGAAAGCCCCAGTTCTTCATCAATTCCACCAACAAGAAGGCCAAGTCTGTCACATTACACATCCAGGGGTTGGACAGCACTGTAAGTTTACCAACTTATTTTTACAATCTGATTTATGCTTCATCTCGTTTACTCGTGCATTTTCTTGCTGCGTTCAAGCAACAAAGAGGCTTATGTGAAGAGGCTCTTCTGAAAGTCAAAGGGGTGATCAGCTTCACGTTTCAAATGGCCTCAAAGAGGTGTACAGTCCGCATCCGTTCAGACCTCCCCACCGAGGTAAAGCGAAGGCATTCAACATTATCTTGTTGTAGTTTATGCCTCATAAAGTCTGTCAAATCCAACCAGGAAAAAAAAAAAAGTGGTGCATTTTGTCTGAACTTGTGCATTTTCTGTCAGAGTCTGGCCACAGCCATCGCTTCCACCAAGGTGCTGTCGGCTCAGCAAGTGGTGAAAAACGATGCCGGAGAGGAGGTGAGCGACATTCAGATAGAATTTCTGCTTATCCCGACTGAGCGTTTAAAATATCTCACATCTCTGCCTTCAGGTTTATGTCCCTCTGAACTCTTGTGGCGCTCAGGTGCCACAAAACGCAGACATCCCAGACTACCTCCCAGAGGAAGAGGAGAGCCCAGAGAGGGATGTTGACAAAGCAATTTCCCGCACTGCAGCTAAAGAAGATTCCAATGGGAGCTGGCTGAATGCTGCTGCTAGTTTCCTCACCAAAACCTTCTACTGGTGAAGCTCAGATTTTTGTCCTAAAAGTGTCCAGATAGACTCCCTCCTCTCACTGCTGAAACGGAGTCCTCATACGAGGGTTTTTGTTGAGTCTTTCATTCAACAAGCAACTACAAAGTCATTGCTATGTACATGTACAGATTTTCTGTCTAAAAATCTTTCAAGCTAAATGAAAGTCTATACTTGTGTATGTCTCTTTTTTTTTATGTTCCATTTATGTGGACTTTTCAATTTCTGTTTTTGCCTTTTCTAGGCATTGTTTACCTCCCAACATGTCCTTCATGTTAATCTTACTGTCCTGCTGTTTGTAACTACTTGAACTGGTTTATGCTGAAATAAATGTACAAAAATAAACGCCTGTGTTGTTTGTGTGCATTGCCTGCTTTGCTCTAAGAAGTAAAAGAAAGTCCATCCAGGAAAACCAGAGTGAATATTTAATCGGGTCCAAAATGTTTAATTTGCCAACAAATGAAGATGTAATAATTTTACACTTCAGTAATACAATGGTTCAAAAAAAATTCTTCCCACCCAACTGTCCTTAAAGGTTTTGTTTGCTTTCAAAGCTTTGTGGTCTTTCAGAAAACTTCCACTTGGTAATATTTACAAAAGTAGGTAGTCACCATGATGTCAACAGTCCAGCTGGTAGAAACCTCCTGCTCACAACTAGAACGTACTGATGCTACGCTTTACAAAAGCTGAGTGAAAAATGTATGAGAAGCTGCTTGTGGGGACAGAGCATTTAATCTGGCTTCAGACATTTGCATCGAAAGGAAGACCTGGGAGAGTTTGGCTGCAAATGCCAAAGCTCAGGAATGCAGATTCACCTTCAACTCAGTGTGGAAACAATGTCGCCCTACACAGCTTGCAACGCAACTTCACAATTAGCAGCATCTATTCATGAAAATTATTAATTTCTTTGATTCAGTATCAGATGTAAATTATTTCAAGTCATTTTGAGCCGAACAAAATTCAGCTTCTAACACAGCCCAGCTAAAGAAAAAGTAAAACTCTTCCAGTACTTCCAGTACTCTGGGGCAAGTTGTAGGACACAGCTTTCACTGAGTTTTAACTACAAAATGGCTTCAACCCAAAGCAAATTTCTGAAGAGAAAAACAAAAAAAGGACGCAGGCAACCAGAAGAATCACATTTTATCTGTACATCAATTAAATAAAGCTAAACGGAAATCAGAAGTTTATGCCCTATGTCTCTGTTGCCTGATAAAAACAGAATCTTCTTTTAATAATTACTGAAACTAAAGTTTGTAATACTCAATCACCCTGGTCTCAATCTTACAACCTCTAGTTTTAAACACTGTAGACAGAATACATTGCATTACTTGACATTTCCAGGTAGCCTCTATATAACTTAGTGCCTTCATACCACCTCTTCAGTACCGATTCAACCGAAAATGCCGAAACTACACGAAAACTGCATCAGAGCCTTTCTTTTCCTTTCGCATTGCAGACGCTGAAAATTAGATTAAAGAACATCTACAGCAAAAATGCTTCAAGTATCACGGTTGGAGAATGAAAAGGTAATCTCAGTTTACAAAATTAATAAATTTTTCTTCACTCAATCTCAGGAGTTGAAGTTGTCTTGTGATTTTGGGGCGTCGGAGAACTGGGCGGGAACAAGAAGATAAGACCGAATGTCACCGAGAAAATGAACTCTGCCTGAGTTTCCTAAAGGAAAAGACACTTCTCTTGGAAAGGTTGTCTGTTTTTTTTTGTTTGTTTGTTTGGAGTTCTTTGGAGACACCGGTTTCGGGACATGGCAATGGCGTTTTCAGCCACAGGAGAAAGAGAATATAAATATGGTGCTGCTAATCTCTCCTTTGGTTCAGTCTTCAGAGCTCCATGGTTCTCTGCCTCTTTCCGAGTGCTTCTCCCGTCTCCATGGCTGTGGAGTCGTCACGCTCCAAAGCGGCTTCAGGCTACATCTGAATTTCAAAAAAGAAAAGGCAAAGTAATAAGAGCAAATAAATAAATGCAATACAACTCACTGACCTAAACATATGAAGGAATAAAGTACTTTTTTTTTTTTTTTTGAAGGAACGAGTGTTTCCTGTACACACACATCTACAATTGAACAGTCCTGTACAATATATTTGCAGTGCAATTTTGTCATCTGTTTCTTGCAGAAGTTATCTTGAGTATTAATACTTTTATGCACTTTGTACCAGACAACATGATCCAATACCACCTACAGTTATACTAGATGAGTGCAACATTTGTGTAGGAAAACGGCGTAAAAACTGGTGTAATTTTTGTCGAACACGTCTGCTAGGAATTATCCACAAACACCAACATTCACATATTTCTTTTGTGAGCCTGAGTGTACAAATAACATGACACATATCCAATTGTAGGTATAATAAGACAATAGATAAGCGAAATAAGTCCTACTGACCTGGTCCCTGCTGGGCTGATAGATCTTCAACTGCACTCAGAGGCTTTAGAAGACCGTTCTCCATGAAGGCTACGACAGAAACTTTACTCTCCTCTTCCTCCGTCTCCTGCTGCTCCTCCTCTCCTTCAGGAGGAGACAACCTGGAATGTGAAGGCAGCGGGATCACCTCTTCGAACGCCCCGTTCTCCCTGTCAAAAACGGAGTGGGAGTAAAAAAAAAAAACCCAACAAAAAAAACGGAATAAACAGGATAGAAACTGTGCGGTGTAATTTGTTTGCGCTGTACACCACCTCTGGTCAGGATGGCTCAGAGGAGTGGTGCTGGGATGTGGGCTGAGGTCAGGTTGGTGACTGTTGCTGTTTGTCTGAGGCACGGTGGCTGCAGGTGCTGCAGGAGAACCAGGGCTCACTGACGGAACAAGAACAGTAACTATCAGTGGCATCCTTCACTGGAACAACAGAGGAGAGGTGTTTTTGGGAGGAGAGAGGTGTGTTCATGTTACCTGCGCCGTCTCCGGTCCTGACTTTCTGGAGATGAGGGAAATGAGAATAAACATTTTGAAAGTGTGTTAGGCGTGTTTTCGGTTTTTAACCAATATGGGCTTTTACCTTATCTGATGTGTCTGAGCGTCTGGTTCTCTTCATGATTTCCTCGAGACGCTGCAGAAGGTAAAGACGGGAGAACGTTTAATTTAAAAACAGAGAGGATTTTTGGATGGGTTATTTATTAATGTTTAAGGACGTCACCTTTTTTCTCTCCAATCGTTCTGCTTCTTCCTTCTGAAAGTGCTTCTCCCTCTCCTGCCTCAGTCGCTCTGCCTCCTCCCTCAATCGAGACTCCTCCTCCTCTTTCTAATCCAAACACAGAGACGAGCACTGAGACAGAGCTCAGCTAAATTCGGCACCAACATGTAAATCTCACTGAATCAGAATAGAAAAAAAAATACTCAGATGATGATACTATTGAAGATTAAAGCTATTCTCTCCTCACTTGTGTCTTTTTTATTTTTGCTTACAATTGTGACATTTAATGTTTTAGGAAAAATTCCGGTTTCCCAATTACTATCTAGGTCATGACATGACATTTCTGCTTAAAATATATTAATATATTCTTAATTGATTATAAGAAATATATATATATATATATATTTTATAAACTAAATGTTGTGTTTTTATACATATAAAAGTACTTATAATCATGGAACCAAACCAAAAAAAAAAAGGTTGCCGTGTCCTATGACCTGTTTCTGGAGTCTCTCTGCCTCTTCTCTCTCCCTCTGAAGCCTCTCCTCCTCAGCTTTTCTCTCCTCCTCCTCCTGCCTTCTCCTCTCCTCTGCCAGACGCTGGGCCTCCTCTTCTCTCTTCGCTCGCTCTTCCGCTTTACGGCGGGCCATCTCCTCCTTTGCTAATCTGAGCGGAGAGAAACAAATGACGTTGATGCAAGTCAACCTGCAGCGTTGGCGACACCGCTAGATGTCCTCAGAGGGCCTCCGTACCTCGCCTGCTCCTCTCGTTGCCTCCGCTCCTCCTCCTCTCTCTCCCTCTGCTCCCGGGCCAGCCGCCGTTTTTCGGCCAGGATCCGACTGGCCTCCTCTGGATCTGTGGTGCCAGCTGAAGGTTTCTGAGTTGGAGGACTGCTTGTAGTTTCTGGAAGACATCATAAAAGAATCGTTGAAGAAATTCGTCCTTCCAGCATGATTTACTTTTGTGTCGTTATGACCGACCGTTGACTTCAGCTGGTGCCTCACTCGGGGGATTGTTCTCACCCAGTGGCTGAGGTCTGGGTTGAGGAGGACTGAAAATCTTCCCTTCTTCCTCTTCTTCTCCTTCTTCCTTCGGAGCTGCTGTTGGCGTTGAGGGTTGGGAGTGCTCAGGTGTGACCCTGACAGGACGAAGGTTTCCGGGATCATCTGAAACGGGAGATTTAAGCAGCTTGGGAGTTGGGGGACGTCCCAGCGTCTTCTGTGGAGGTCTGTGAGCAAACGAGAATAAAAATGTTATATTAGAAGGTAAGGTCAAAACAAGAACTTTTTTCAAGCTTCATATTCGTTTTGGAGAGAACAATAGATTCATCTACCTGCCAGCAGAGGGTGGTGTTGCTTTGTTGGACTTTTTGCCTGAAGAAATGGAGGACTTATTGGGAGGTAACGTCAGAACAGGAGCCAGTGGAAGGGACAGGTTGCTCCAAGACTTCCTGACGCTGTCACGGTCCTTATGCTTACATGGATTTTTAAAGATGCAATGATAAAAAAAAAATATTAATACACATTTCTTCGTTTGCTTTTTGTTCCCTCACCATCTAAGCAAATTGGTACCATCCCATGCTGTCATCCTTATACAGCATGAAATAAAAAAATTGGCGTGGTTACATACCAAATGAAAACGTGACAAACATTGTGAGTCAGAAGGAAATCACGCATGGTTTTCAAGTTTATAAAATTGAAGTCTGTGACATAGATATTTATTCAACCTCCTTAACTCTGATACCCTCAAATAAAATGGATCTATCCATCTAAATGGACAGGTGAGAAAAGGAAGAATTAAAGAAGCGTCCAAGAGGTCCGACACATCCCTGTGATGAAGCGAGATGGTGGCAGCATTATGCTGGCAAGATGCTTCTTTTTTTTTTTTCAGAAACCCAAACTGTACAAAGCAACCATCAAATAATTTATATCAAAACCTTCCCATGTGTTATGCCAGACCAGTCAAAACCCAGACCTGATTCCAGACTGAGACGCTGTGACCGTTTGAAAAACATTTGTGCTAGGAAATATTCCTTCCATACCTGCATAGTCCCTGTGGTCCTCCTCCGAGTGGCGGCGGAGGCCGGCGAAGCTTTCTCTCTGCTCAGGTTCCTGTCCTGGCTGCGACAGTGAGGGAGCACTTGGGCCTGCAGGGTCTTGAATGACACGGCGCCCATGGGGTGGCAGGAAACTGAGCGAGGACACACAGGCATGGCTACCGTGACGATGCACAAGGCAGGCGGGGAGGTTTGGAGTGTTTTGGAGCAGGTATGATTTGGAACAGCGTGGGAATTTGTGGGATGTCAGAAAAGATTTGGCAAAAAGGCGCATAAAAATAAAGTTCAGAAGGAAAGGTGGAAGTGTAAAGGAAGTTAGGTGAATGGTATGAATAAAGCCATGCATTTAGGGAGATCAAACAAAGGGTAACAGGAATGTAAAGGTGATGTTTTGGTAGTAAGAAAGCAGAAGAGAAAGAAGCTGTTAGTTGCTACAGATTAGTAGAAGCGCAACATATATATACAGACATTACCTAACAACAAGAAACACCCCGAGGAGGGAAACATATTTAGTTTATTATTCAATCAGGACAAGCTAGTCAGTATTACACTTAACACCCAACACCAAACAGAGGACATATGTACAAACTACAACATGAACAACAAGCTAAAGTGCCCAATGTGTCTAATGTCAGGCCAAAGAACAAAGTGACAACTAGACGGAATGAACTTTGTTTAAGCCTACAGGTGAATGTAGGTGAAGGCTTTAGCCCGTTACCTCCCAACATATTTTCCTTAGTACCTCCTTTCTTAGGAAAACAAGGAACTTTACCACATGCATATGGAGAACCCAGAGCACGTAGTAGTTATATGTGTACTCTTATGAATGCACCTTTCTAATTGATCTCGCGATTGGATATATTTATTTCCTATTAAAGTTGGTACAATGCACTTGCATAAATTTGTAAAAAAGAAAAAAAAAAAACAACATAATTGGCAATGTAAGATGAAAACTACCCACAAATGTTTAATAATTCTTTATGAAATTTGTAGTTTTCAACATGAAAACAAACAAAAAAAACACTTGCATATTAAAAATAATATACGATTATTGTATAAAAGACAATGCAAAGTTGTACAAAGTTCACACAGTAACCTTGCAAACGTTTTGCTACGGAGACAGGAGGAGCAGCCAGCCCTGTCGATGGGTAAATACTTCCTAAACAGTTTAGATACCAGGATCTTGCGGTCTGCTTCAGTGCGTGTGTTTGTTTACGTGTGTGTGTGTGTGTGTGTGTGTGTGTGTGTGGAGCGAACAACAGAGCCCCTCGGCTGCCCTGATACAGGCTGGCAAAGGCAGTTTGGGACAGTGTAATGCTTTAAGTCCACTCAAATCTTATTAACATTGAAAACCCTCGAGGTCAAGACACTCTGTTGAAATATTATTACTTTATTTCTACTGTACAGGTGAAGATTTATGAGTGATTGCAGAAAGTCTGTCATCAAATTTAGGATAACCAAGAATGAAAGAAGCGTGGACGGGGCTGTGTGTTACCTGACTGCTCTCCAGACAAGCTCATGGCGCTGCGGCTCCGGGCCAGGTATGAGTGTGTTGGCTGCTGTAGACGGTTCACCATGCTGCTCTCCCATGGCGTCAGCGGAAGTCGGCGGAGTCCTGAACACAGACGCATGCAACACCTGAGCTTTGATAACAGCTAAAACTATTACCTACCCACTTATCAGCCCAAGCAGTCAGTCAAAGCAGATTATAAACCATCCGCAGGCCCAGCACAACTTCTCTTTGCTTATCCAAAGTGAAAGGTGAACAGAAGTCAAGTGGACACCCCATTGCATGCGCTAAACTGGTAAGTATCAGAGGAAGCAAACACCTTGAAGTGAACTGCACACAAAAGGCAAGATGCAGGTAGGAGAGCAATAGCAGAAGGCTGCAGCATAAAAAAAATATCACAATGCAGCATCAGATTACAAAACCAGACTTCCCAGGATTTTATACAAGCAGTTTAAATATCTGACCATAACTCCCCCAGTTGCTCACTGGGAACACACATATAAATAATGTTCATTTTAATCTGTTTACCCACATTAACACAACATCAGGCAAAGCATGCAGTGCGGCAGGGCTGGGTTATTGGAGCTTTTTCAATGCTCTGAAAAAGTACTTTCACCCCAGAGTTCTTTTGTTTTTCCTTGTTTTGGCACACTTCAATAGATCAAGCACATTTCAACGTCAGATAAAGATAACCTGAGTAAAGGCAAACATCAGTTTTTGGAACATGATTTCATTTATTAAGGAAAAAATAAGACAAATTTCAATTTGTACTCGGAGTGAACACCTGAAGAGAACTCAAATTTTAAGGAAAAAAAAATCTATACAAACCAACCTGCCCCTGTGTGAAAAAGAAATTGGCCGCTATAATGTCTCTGCCCACCTTGGAGGCAAAAACTGTCATTGAGTGTTGGTAATAAGTGGAGAAATTTTGAGCCACTGTTTGCAGAATTGTAAAAACCTGTTTGACATTTCACCACAGCGTCTCAACAGGATTAAATCTGAAGTGTATCCAAGCCCCTTCAAAATCTTAACACTGGACTTGCTGATGTGCTCCCGATTACCATCTTGTTCCATCAACCCATGGACTATTTGCCCAAAACGTTCTTTGGGAAGTTAATTTTGTGAACTTTGAGTTATTTGGACATTCTCCGAAGGCTCTACTTTTGCCTAATTTCTTTCTTCTTAGGAAATCATAGTCACTTTCTCAAACTGAACAAAGATGGGCTTGCAGATGTTTTAATTTCTTTTATGACCTCCAAGATAAGACGATGATGTGCTCTTGGAACAATCTTGGTAGTCCGGACACCTCTTGGCTTTTACTATTATTCCCTTGTTAGACTGATAGATATAAAGGTATATCAATCTTTAAATTTATTTAGATTGGGGCATAACGTCACTTAGATCTTATTAACTTGTTGGATATTTAAATTATTTCTTGACTCTATGTGTCAGGCAGGTTGGTTTAGATAACTTTTGTCCTTAATAAATGAATTACCACATAAAAAAACTGCTTTTTATATTTGCTCAGTTTATCTTTGATTGACATTAAAATGTCTTGGCCATATGAAATATGCAAAAAAGAAGTGATGTAATGGGGCAAATACTTTTCACAAGTATGCAAGTAAAAGATACCAATAAGCTGAAAACTGAAGGGATGAATGCTCAACGAATGGTACTGTTAAACAATTTATAGCATATGTATAATTTTTAATTCTGCCTAATTATTGTTTTTTTTTTTTTTTGGTATAGCAATTGAGGTATTGAAGAAGGTTTTAAATTGAATTAACCGGTAAACAAACTTGATAATATAGAACATGGCATTTTTTAGTTTTTTTTTTTGCCATGATGCATATATAGCATTCCCATAAAAAAAAAGAAAAAAAAAAAAACAGGATTATCCTACAAAGGATTATAGAAAGGGGTTACGTTGGAGCCCAATCCTAGTGATTAAATACTCAAGTGGAAGCATGTGCTCATTCATAACACAGTGAACTGTTGTGAGTTGTAATTTAAGAATAAGCTGCAATCAGAATGCAGACGTCCATCGTTTAATTTTAAAGGAACCATCCTTTTTTTTTTTTACTTTCATTTGCAGTTTTCAGCCCATGATCTTTTCTGCTCTGTGCATCATAACATAAGAAGTCAAAAGCGCCCTAGATGAAACCTGTGTTTTTGTGCTGCGTGGTCTTCCCCTGATGTAGGCGGGGTTTGGACTGAGCTTTGCTTATTACAGGGGTGGAAGCTGTTCTCATCTGTAAGCCTGTCAGCAACATATAAACATCAGAGGATACATGATGTTTTAAACTGTGCACGAGAAAAGATACTTCAAAAACAATAAACAGTTTAAGAAACCCCACCAAGAGTTAGACAACACGATCAATATTCCCCAACCTGTCCAATAAGTATGATGCTACTGTAAACCACTATCTGAGGCACGTACGGTATATCTGGGAAAACAAATACATTTTTTACATGTTTTTGTCTTTCATCCGCACAAAACTCCGCCTAATACCACTAAAAAAAGTTATTTATAAATGTGCCAACCAAAGAGAAGATTTGAGAAAAATCTGTGTTTGTGTGTTTACATAGAAAAACTGGGCTGCGACAAATAATGCACAAACTATTTCTACATACTTGCTTCGACACAATTCCCAATAGACATCGTCTTGTGTTTTAACTTACAATATGTGTACAACATTATTTTTGAAAACAATGTGGAAGAGATATTTATTTTTTTATAAAGATCTATCTGTGTGTGTACATGGCCTGACATAAATGAAGATATATATATAAAAAAAAAAAAAAAGAAAAAAAAGAAAAAAAACGTTGTGCTAAATGAATCTACGCTAACTGGGACAAAGTAACACTCAATAAATTCCAATTCTCATAATTTCTGTAGACTAACAGCAAGTCAAATATTCTTATTAACCTTTACAACAAAGATTTAGCACAATCCAACTCTCAGCTAAAAGTCTTGTGGAACAATCCCATATAAAGGATACAAAAATATAAGGAAGTGACATGTGCATGTCATGACTTTCATTACCTCTGTCAGGCGAGTTCAGCAGTGTGGCAGACGAGGAGGAGAGGCGCTTGGTAATGATGGGATCCGTGTGTTTGGATAAATTCACGGTGGACACCGACCTTCTGTCAGCATCTACAGTCAAAATGAGAAAAATAAATTAATGACAGCAAACAAAAGGAAGTGAGATCTGACCCAGCAGACTTTAAGTTTCTATGCATTCATTAATTTAGGTTAGAACTGGAAAACTACCAACTCCTAAAAAAAATAAATTAATTAGTGCTAAATGGAAATGTTGCGTCTTTGCAATACGACTTTGGTTAACGTGGTGCGCTGCTAACCAAATACTAACGATGCTGCCCACATAGGTCTACATGTGTACTACTGCTAGTGCTCTAAAACTAGCCAGCCAACTGATACAGAGCTATAATATTCACAGTGGGACGTCAATCCGTATCTGCGGTAGAAACTGAAAGCACTTTGCATGTGCTCCAGTCCAGCAAGGTCGAGTGGACAGAGGAAAGCAGACTCCACAAAACCTGAGCCGAGAAAGAGCAAAGACGAGATAGAGGAGGGAATGAGTCAGACAGAAGTTGAACATGAGGATGAAAGAGAGAAAGACAGGGAAGGCAGAGAAGGGTGTGAGTAAGCAGTAACAACAGAAGGCAGCGAACCTGAAAAGTGCAAAAATAAACATGGCAGAACAATTCTGACAAGCTGAGGCGGCTGGAAAAGTTTGTGATTTCTGTGGCGAACTCGATGTGTTAGTACAGGGCCTTTGCGGGTATGAATGTGTTTCAGTACCAGCTGGTATGCTTGGAGTGTTGGTGTGCAGCGCTCCTCCCCAGGACCAGCGGTTTTGCTTTGGTCTGGTTTTCTGGCTCCGCTCCAGCGTGCGGCGTATCACTGCCTCATGACGCACCTTCAGTCAGAAAAACAAAAGAGAAATTCCTCAATGTGGCAACTTCTTAGGCTTTGAACAAGCTCAATATAATCTCTTCAGTCTCTGTGCTAATAATAATAGTGAAGAAAGTGTTTTCGTACACTAGTTTTACGGCTGCGTGAGATATGCCAAATAAATTAGAAGACAAATCATCCAAATCACTTCACTTACAGATAAAATTTAGTGTAAATGAACCAGGGTGAGTGTGAGTAATAAAAGCCCCCGTGAAAAGCGTTACAGTTTAAATTTCAGCTTCCACGTGTATGTGAAGCATTGTTGAAACATAAAAAAAACTTGAAGCCAAGTCTATACATTTGAAACCAGAAGATTAAATACACCAAATAAAAGATACAAACGTATTCTTTCTCATAATTGTCTTGATTTTAGGTTAGTTAGAATAGCCAAAATTATTTATATTTGCTAAATGCCAGAAAACTTAGCCGGGACAATTTTTAGAGATTTTTTTTCTAACTATATTTGAATTCCCCACTATAATACAAGCAAGTATACACAATTAATTGATGAACGTATATCATTTGTTGAATTTGTTTTATCCAAACAGATCGGATGTGATGTCAAAAAATATTCATAACATTGCAGTTTTGTATAACTTATGAGCAATCCGTAATGGTTGCCACTCATATTTATCTTTTATTAACTCTCAGATGAGGCTCGTCAAGCATAAAAAAACCCCAAATGGATGTATACCCGGTCCTCCTCTTGTTTTTGCCTTCGCTTCTCCTCCACAGCGGCCCGTCTTTTCTCCTCTTTGATCCGCTGCTCTTCCAGTTTTTTCTTCCTCTCCTCCAACTGTTTCTCATAGTGCTGCCTCGCTCTCTCCTCGCGCGCCTGCCACTGGGCCTCCTTGGCAGCTGCATGCACGTACGCACAGACAAGTTGGAATTTGACTCGCATAATTAAATTCAGACACATACACACGCACACACACATCAACAAGGAGAAGGGTCAACGGCACTTCCCGTGAGAATGCTGTAAACTTCCAGCACAAAGTAAATCCCTATATGAAGTCAGATCTTTGACTTATGTAAAACATGATCAGCATGTGTAACAAACAGCTTTTGACTTTTCAGCCTTCCTAAGACCTGCCTGATTTACTGGCGTATTATGTAAGGTAGAATCCATGGCAACTGGATGCCTGGGTTCACCCTGGATTTTATGTAACTTCCAGGGAAACAGACACTTCACAGCTGCCAACCAAGTTCAGCCGCAAAATGTCAGGAGAGAATAAAGGAACAGCCACAGATTCGCTTTAAAACATCAATTTTCCTCTGAATGACTTTCAAACACATGAAGATAAAGGGTGCTCACCATTCTGTTTTTCCCGCTCCTCCCTGCGCTCACGGGCCAGCCTGTGTCTCTCATCAATCTTGTTAAAGAGCAACGAGTCTGCAGCACAGTTTACTAGTACTATTAGCAAGTCTTCCATTTAGAAGGGTAAAAACAAACAAACAGGAGAAACTGGCAGGTTGTTTTTTCAGTAAAATACATTTATTCTAAATGAGTTACCTGTTTTGGTAGCAGCATAAGTACTTGTGTTTTTGCTGGTGGTCCGATTAGGAATGGGAGGGGGTATAGGTGTCCCAGTGGGGGAGTAGGTCTGCCCAGAGGCTGAAGACCCTCGACCATCCTCAGACCTGTACTGGGAGTAAGATGCTGAGAAGAAAAACAGATTGGTATCAAACACTGAGCAAAGAGACTGAAATGGAAAGAAAAAAAAAACAATAACAAAAAAAAAACTATGATACATCGGAGCCATGAAAACATTAAGTCACAAGTGGAGATTAATTGGTCCAAGATGGAAAAATGAAAAATCACCCTCAGCCATAAAAGTTTTACCTCCGAATTACAGTCGGCATTATTCCCACAAGATGATGTTTTTCATCAGACCCTCAATTTGAGATTCATTACAACAATACCTGCATCCCTGCAGTGTGTAGGTACGGAAGTGATTTAATTAGATTTCAATAGTGTTTTAACCTTTGAAAGGACCAGAATGACGGGATTTTCCGGTTCATCACTCTATTTAGTTAGGAATGAGTGTTTCCCATGTAATGATTCTCACTAAGCATACTTGAGAAAAACATCGAAATATCTGATCTAAAGTTTCAACTTAAAAATGATCTACTCTTTACACAGCTGTTAAATTAATTAAATTGTTAAAAAAAACATAGATTTTCTCTAAATAATGTTTTACTCTACAAAATATTTAAAACCATACCATATTAACTTTCATAACTCCCGGAGCTTTCTTTTTACTGTGCCTAGTAGTAGTATAATTATTTACGCGTCAGAAGTCAAAGCTCATTTCAGTGATTTTACTATCATGGTAGTAAATTTGTCCAAATGCAACTGCTTAACTAATCATTAATAGGAATTATTGACAGTCTTTATTATTGACAATGAGTTGTGAATTATCATAGTACAATGGTGGAGACTTGCATGTCATAATCCTGAATACCAAGGTCAAAAATCTCAATAAAATATCTGTACTTAGCTTTTCTTGGACAATTTCTCATTCTCACTGAGGTTTGACTTACCAATTTAAATTGTTAATGTATATCACAGAATTTAAAAAAAAAAACCCTTCATGTTCATTATGAGATGTGCATACTTTTGAAACCAAAATAAAGAGAAAGAAAGGTCCTGCATTCAAATTCCCATGTGGGGTCTTTCTGCATGGAGTTTACATGAGTGCATGCAAACTCCATGCAGGCTGCATTCTGATACACTTAAGCCATACCGTAGCTGCATTTATAGTGCAAAGGTCCAAACAAAAAAAGAGATGTGTTTATATGTCTGGAACATGCTTGCAGCAATAAATCTAAGATTTGTAAGAACAAGCACCTCTTATGAGCTGTGTGAATAAAAACGGACTAAGAGTGTGCCTGTAGTTTCTGTTACATGGTTGCCTCTACTAATAGGAAAAAAATTAAAAAAAATATTCAATATCACATTTTTTTTTTTGTTATCGCCAACATTAACGTCTCATAGAGCTGAGTTATTGATCATTGGTTCTATTGCCTCCAGGGTGACTCAGCTCTTAATTTTAGCCATTTGGAAACAAAGCTTTATTTAAGATGTGATGGAAAAGAACTAAAATAAACCCTTTGAGTTGAAATATTAGTGCCACTAGTAAGTCAAGAAGACAAAAACAGGGTTATGTACAAATATAACTAGAATAATAAAACAGAAATTTGTGTGGAAGAGGTAAATATCACAATTCATTCAATTCCTCCAAGCCCAACTAAAATGATACACTTCAACACTCATGTGGTCTTCCTATCTTTTCAGCAACACCACAGCATGTCTAGTAATTACCCACAACAAGGCAAAAGAGGAGCAAAGTACAGATTTCATATCTGACTCCACCGGTGTCTAAGGTTAGACAAAGTGTCTATTTAAAACTCCCGATTCTCAATTTCTTGTGTACTTTCATTCATGCGTCTGACATCGCCGACTCCACCCACAGCAGGCTTAACAGTTTTACACGAACTTACAAAAAGAGTCGAGAAAAGACATCAGGTCATAGTTGACTGGGTATTGTGTGACACCGTGTATGGGGCAGCTGCAGAGGTGTGTACACAAGCATTCACAGGTCTGCATTGCCTCAGGTAGATGTGGTCATAATGACTATTGTTACAACAAGAAAGGCAGCACCGGGACTTTGTTCGCGCCTGAAAATCCATTTCCTCATATAAAAGATCGGCTCAAAAAGGAAAGGATCATTTCCCGCATCTCAATATTTAACTTGATATTTGTCTAGAAACTCATTATGAGCTTGGCATGACATTAGAGGAAAAAAAAATGTGCAAGAGAATATATATTTGCGTTTCTGAGGTCAACATCAAGTAGGGGAAAGGGGGCAGCACGCCACCACAACTGGCAATTTGTTTTGATTCACAAAGCTTTGAATAAACCTCAGTGTGTTCAATGTCCCATTCAAATATGTTCCCTCATAGCCAACTTTGCCCACAACTCATCCAGGAAAGGTCAGAATCAGATGAGATAAAACCTGCTCATTTCATTTTAGAGTCTGGCCTAAAAGGCCTTCTCCTAGTGAGAAATTTATGAAATGAATATCTAGAGAGTTGAACAGGAATCCTTACAAGATGTCTAAAAACATATTTATTATATAGAGTAACTTAAGAGAGGGCAAAACATTAGTCTTGTCTGAACTAACTGATTGGGTCCTTTCTTATTGACAATGTCTAGTTTCCTTTTGAGGTCTGAGCTACCTATTCTGATGATAAAACATCAAATGGAAAAAATATGCTACAGGATCTTTGGTAGATGTCACAGATTTGAATGTAGCACAAATGAAGGCATTGCATTATCTCAAACGATCCGTCAAAGCATATATTTGAGATGTAGCAGCTGATTTCTGGGCACATAGTTCTGGCCTCTGACCGCCTGATTGGTGAATTCCTACTTACAGTATATCAAAGTGATTGGAAAACACCAACACCAAATATAGTGGAGTTTATGTGAATGGATTCACCAAGAAGTGAAAGCTTAAATAAACTGTATTTTCAGTGCAGCATGCAGAACAGGATGCTCAGTAGTGCGAGGTACTTTGTGCCCCACTTATCTTGGTACAGCCCCTTCTGCTGTTGTTAAAACAAATGTACAAAGCAGTGCGCATCCATCGCCCAAAAGAAAGCTACACAGAGGCTATCAAATATATATGTGAACAAGCACTTGCTCAAAACACGAGACTATGTTGAGGTAAATACATATTTAATGAGATACAAAAGTGTCTTCTTCATACTAACTCGGTGTAGGATTTTGATGTGACATCCTAGTCCCATTCATTCAGCTGTTATGCACCAACAGCACATATTTTAGCCAGCTGAAATAATTCACTGCACTAAATGTGCAAACATGATTTTGTCACCAACTGGTTAAAGTTTATAGACTGATTATGGAACAGAAAGAAAGTAAAGAGGAGATACAGAAATAATCATACATTGTGTCCCCACAATGTATTCCTGAGAAAATTTCATACTTTTACATACTTAAGTTCTTAATGCAATATTTATGTGAAAATACAAAATAAATTAAGTGAATTTACTGCAAAGTTAGGCTGTAAGCACAACGTCTGCATAACAAAAGATCAGATGGACAAATGGACATTTCATACATAGATAGAAACTAGAGTGTAGAAATGCTATTTTTTCTGTGCTCTAGTTTATTTTTCCATATGTTTTATATACTGCAGTGATTTGAGATTGTCATTGCAATATTAAGCAATATAATTTTCCTATTTATCCCCATAATATGAAGCAATATTATCCATTAAAATGAAAAATTTAAACATCAACCCAAACATTGCCTTACATTTCTGCTTCAAACATGAACGTTCACTTGGAGTTTATGAAAACCATGTAGTAAAAACCCAATAGCCTAAAAACGCTAGAATATTTCATGCCAGAGTAGCGACGGACACCTCATGCCAAATAAGTGATAATAATAACAAGTATAAAATCAAATTGTTGGTACAAACAGCATATTAAAAAAAAAAAAAAACAATCAGTTGCAATAACCTCTCCACTGATCCGATATACTTTCAGCGTAGCTGTGTCCTTCCTGTGCATCTCACAGGCATCCATCTGTTGCAGAGGTCACTGAATCAACAAACCTCCGATAGCCCAAAGTGCATTTGCTTGTGCACACTCGCCTGCTGTTTAACACCATCCGCAAACACATTAAACCTTCTATGTGGTGTAATTGAACCTGCTCACAGTAGAGGCTTCCTGTCACGCTGCTCTTAAGCTTCCAACATTTTTTATTTTAAAGATTCAACTATGTGGGTTAAGTAATAACTACGTTACAAAGCATAAATAGGGGGGGGCGGGGCTTCTCAGAAACTGGAAGATTGTGGTTTGTGTTTGAAGATGTTTAAACCGACAAATTAAGTGGTGAAAAGGACATTTTTGCTGTGCATCTCCAATTTTACTTTTGTTTTCTCGTGAAAATCAACTGTATTTATCGCCCTTCATATCTGTCCTTGGTTTCGGTGATAAAAATCAGCTGAAAATAACTAACATAGCACATGACTTTAGCCAGACAGCATTCAAGTACATATAGAAGATTGGTTCATAAAGAGTTCAACTTTTGGAGATAAAAGTTAGGGGTTTTTTTCCCTGCCAAAATATAATATTGTACAGAATATAAGTACAAAAATCTCCAGATGGTAATGAGATTTTTGTGAACTAAAAGCATAACGATGCAGTCAAAGTACCTTCTTTGACTTCTGACCATAATAAAACCCAATCTTATGCCCTCTCACTCCTCTTTCCCACAGTTCTTATCTTCACCTATTGATTGATCAAAATATAATAAAGTTTTATTTAATACAGATCGTCCAGTTGGCCAAAGCACAAGGTTTTACCTGAGTTGTTCATAATGTCAGATGTATTAATCCAAACGTGGGACCTCTGACCCTGCCTGGTCTGTCCACTTCAGCTAAATCAATCACAGGGTCGGCAGCAAGGTTACTACTTCCTGAAAGCATTCTTCCTGGCAGAATCTGAGCTCAACCACAAAGTCCACAGTCCAGGTAGAAACCAAAAGGAAAACTCCTCCATCCGGCTTTTTCTAAATTAGATTTAGAAAATGAGCGAGGTCAGTCAGTGTCACCGCTGCTGACACGCCAGTCCCCATCCTTTTGTCTGCGTGTGCATGTGTGTTTATGCCGTTTTGCATGAATATGTGTTACACAGAGTGAGATATAAGAGAGAGTGTGACAGTTTAATCTGCCCCTCCCTCCTCCTACGCTCGTTGTCTGTCTGTCTGCACTCCCTCCCCACCCCCAGTCTATCTGCATTCATCGCCAGTCAGATTAAATGGTCAGAGTTGGCGATTAATGCTCTGCCGTCCAGGCCAGGGGGTAACAGGCAGGCACAGTGTGCAGCTCCTTCCTTCCCTGCAGCCTGAGAGGATTAGCTGCTGCTAATGCTAAGCCAAACTGTAACCTCCAAACACCGGAGCGGCAAAGGGGGCAGGGTTGAGAGTATTCCTTTACAGCTCTGGACGAAAGGTGCAACAACAGTGCGTTTTATAATTTTGTGGTTCGAGCTGCATTGTCTTGCATACGTGGTTCAGCCTCAAACGTAAGAATGTCTGCTAGGCTCTCACAAACAGCAATATTTATGCAAAAACAAAAATCAAACTGAAAGTTTGCCATCTTGCTTTTGTCAAGACATTTCTCAGTAGCCACCTTATTATACTTTCAAATTCTCCACAAAGTTTGTGATTCGAGTTAAAGACAATATTACTTCATCTGATAATTTTCAGGGAAAATATTTGCAAAGCAACTTAAACAGTCAAAATAGAATGAATAAAAAAAAACATTCAGATGTTCCTTCCAGTTAAAACACACAGTACATATCAAAAAAATGTAAACCCTTTGTATTTTTACACATTTATGTCATTTTTCACCCTCAAACTGACGGTGCATTTTATTGGGAAGGCAAAGTCGTTCATAGTTGTAACGTGGAAAGACTTCTGCTGAGACTTTTCCCCATTTTAGTTGCAAAGCAGATCAGCTCAGTCAAAGGATGGAGTCAGTGAAAAATAAGCAAAAAGTTTTGCTGTACATCAAATTGGTAAGATCTAAAATTTGCCATTGTAGCTCTGGCTATAGATTGAGGGTCATCCTGATGGAGTGTGAACCACAGCGCCAGCTGCAGTCTCTAACAGGTTTTTCTTCCAATGTTGATGTGCATTTAGTTCTATTGTGCTATTTTAAAGAAAAGCCTGTTAGTCAGTGGTAATATCATGTTCTATTGTCAGTTATGGTATCTTCTGACCAGAAACAGGCAAAAGCTGCAATTCCAGTCTCTTCTTAAAGTATTACCAGAAATACTTAACTTTTGAAGACCTGCCAATTTAAGAGAAAGTCCCAGCACTGCATATTTCTTACTGCTGCGACTGCAGTCGTATGCTGGGGTGTTGACAGAACCTCTTTGCTTACAAACGCATTGCCATCACATACACGTGTGAAGCACACTGCACCTCCGCTCTCATCTCTGCTGTCCTTGTCTTGACCTAATCTTGCAGCCTCAGCTAATTTTCTTTCTTGCACAAACAAAAGTGTCCATCATCACAGTCCCTGCACACCAACGGTGTCTGCGAAGCCCATTCTAATCCAAACCCCATAAAGCAAAGTGCAGCAAGAGATTTTACTTTTGAGTATAAATATATAATGAGCCGTACAGTAAGAAGAAAAAAAAGAAGTCCGCAAATATTTTGTGCGTCACATTTTCAGAGCATCTGCAGCTCCGACTCTCTGGAGAATGCTCAAAGTTTCCTCAGTTCAATTATAAACTCTTTGTCCCAGAAAATGCCCTTAATTTAGATACATTAACGCACACTCAAACTTGCACGGTCACATTGGACACCCAGTCAGTCTACTTTCCTTCATACCTCGTTTCTTCTTCCTGCCTGCCTCCCTCCGTCTCTGTACCTCCTCTTCCTCAGTGATGGTAAAGAGCGGTTGAATCGTCAGCCGGCTGCCTCTCTTCCTCAGCTTCCACTTGTCTCTGGGTGATCCACTTCCTCCACCTCCTTTTGCTTTCCTATCCGGCATCGCCTGCCCTGTTGCAACTGCTCGAGCCCCCAGGCTAACTCACCCGAGCCCTGCCCATCCCACCCCACCCAAAGGAGATAGGGAACTGTTCCGGAGGACTTTGGAGGTCAGGGTCACCCCTAACAGCGCTCTTCTTCAGGAAGATGCAGGTATCTTACAGATAAATACCCATAGCCATGTTAAACGAGGTACTTTGAAGCTGAAAAGGTTTGCAGATGATACAAAAATAAAGTAATTTTGAGGACGGCCAAAGAAAGGAAAAAAAAAAAAAAAAAAAATGATGAGTCAAGAATAAACCCAGTGCAGTGCAGAAGAAGGAAAGGGATGCAGACAAATGCAGCAGCTCAGAGGACCAGCGAGCAGAGAGAGTGAGGATGAGGATGAGCTCTCTGGTGGTGTGGCTTAGAAAAGAAGACTTAATCCATGAGACTGGCTCCGCAGAGGTCTGTAAGAACCGCACAAGTGACTCCTGCACTCCTCAGGAGGATGCTGCATCTGCTGTCTCCACACACACACACCCCACCTCCCGTCTTTATAGTCCCCTAGATCTCATCTGCAAATCTGCCAGGAGAATTACATCACATAGCATTTCCTTCTACTGTACAAAGATATGCGCACACAGGGACGAGGAGGATGAAAAGAGGTTAGGAGAGTCGATAAAATATTCAGTGCAGCTCCAGTAGTGGAAGGTGAGCCGGTACAACGTAATGGGTTTCCCTGACAACAGCAGCACATGGACCAGTGACACAGTGCAAAAGTAGGAGTTTGACAGGTGGACGTCAGAGCAAAGAAGCACAGTTGTTGCTGGATGCAACCACTCCAAGTCAAATAATGCAGTACTGGAGCCATTGCTCTTGGAAGGAGTCCAGAGAGCACATGGTTTATGGCTCCACCCACCGCCTCCACTTAAAGAGAAATCATATTATTTTTATATGGGCCAATTTCTGGTAGCAAGTTATACTCGAATGATGCGTGTATATTCAACCTGTTCTTTTATGTTCCCAAAAAACTCAGCGTACCAACCGCTTCTGGCATATTCTCCCACACCCAGAAACAAACAAACAAACAAACAAACAAACAAACAAACAAATAAGCAAGCAAACATAAAAATTAAAAATAAATCAAAGATAGTTTTAAGAAGTACTAACTCTGGGTTCCCCAGTGTACATGTATTTTTTATTTCAGATTTTTATTCACTATTTAAAAAAAAAAACAAAAAAAAACATTGCTTTTCTTTCTACCTCACAATTATGGACTAGTTTGCTGCTACTCACATACAATCTTAATATACAAAACTAACATTTATAGCAATAACAAGGCAAAATGTTAAAAGTTTTAAGGACTGTGAATATACTTTATACATTTGTGAAGTCAAAATGCTTAATCAGTAGTTTGTCATTGGAGCTATTCATTTAATATCTCTATTAAAGGAAATTTTTCCAGTAATAATAATATAAAGGAATTCAGGCCAATAGTTGCAGCCTCATCTCCTCAGAGAGCATGTGCTGCACAAACACAATCATGGACGAGCAATCTGATCTTTGTCCCCACAGGACACAGCAGTGCTGTAAGCCTACACCTGACTTTAACGTGATAGGCTCTGCAACACGCCCTTCTCACTCATATTCAGTGTGGCAATAAGACACCAGTACAAATAGGATTTTTACATGAAAAAGGTAAGTGAAGTTCATAATTAAGTGTAGATGTATTGATACTGGGATATTAACACAAATTTACACCTAATATTCCTACAGTGAATATGTCATAAGTAGGCAACCAGAAACTGAAAGACAGGTAGGACTAAATGAAAGAAAGAGGAAAGCGGATTAACACAATGAAATAAGGGGACTGAAAAGGACAGAAGGGAGGAAGTGAGTTAGGACACAAAGAAGGAAGGGAAGAAGGAAGGGCTTGAATGAGTAAAATGAGGAGGACAAGGGTACAGAAAAACTTTGGCAAAGAGGAAAGGCAGCAAAGGAAGGAAAGAATGAAGCTACAGCACAAGTAAGATGGAATAAGACAAATGAAAAATGAAGGGAAGGATGGCTACAAAGACGGGGTAGGGCACAGAGAAGGACAACAAAATAAACATAAGATGAAAAAAAGAATATATTGAAGAAAGGAAAAGGAGCTGGGGCACAAGGCAGGTAGGCAAGGCACCAGGAAGGAAGGAAATAAGGAGGGACAAAGGGAAGTAGGTGTGAAAGGAAGAAAGGGAGGATGGAGAGATGCAAAGAGTGAAAACAAATATTTTCTCATGCACCATGTCCCTTTCCCATACGGAGGCTCTCGACCTCGACAGGCCGTCCCGATTTTAACTCCCATCCTCAATGCCTTTGCTGCATGTCTTTGCCCACTTCTCTCTGCCCCCTTCCTGTCTGATTACTGTCAAATAAAAGCCAATAGTACCCAAAAAATTATTCAAAGACAAGACAAAACAACAGAAATTAAATTCTATCTTGCAACTTTTAAATCCTCTCCAACACATCTGAATCAGTTGGCTGAATTTTCTCATCAGAACATCATTCAGGTTCACATGCAATCTTAATCATACTAATGGACGGAAATGAGGCCATTAACGTGACTCAGGTGTGCTGGAGAAAGGAAAGTGTAGTGGAGAAACTACACTTCACTGGCATTAGTGTGCAGACTTTTACAATTAAAACTAATCATGCTTAAGCCAACACTGAATGCCCATTCATAGCATCAGGGCGTAGGCTTCGGGGCCTGTATTCAGAGTAAAAACTTGTTGTTGCTGCAGTTCAGTGGGTATCGGGCAGTCTTAAGTTTTCACAGTACAATGATTGAGTAAAAATACCACAGTTGTATGGACTCGTCATATTTACAAATGCAACTAGTCCTAATCCAATTCATTTATTTTAAACCAGAGAACAAGTACATATCCCTCGTTCTGCTAAAGTAGAAAAAGCATGAATTATCATATTTTTTTATAATATGCACACCTTTTATTATTCTAATACTAGACAACAATCAAACAAGCAAGCTGCTCTTGGCTTTTTCAATTACTGCTTTAAAATAATGTCACCGTAGTTAGAGTGACTGGGGACATCTCCACAGCATGATGCTGCCACCTGCATGTTTGTGTTTGTTTCCATAGGATCACTATCAGGGTATCGGGGTCTTTGCAGCTAAAAATATTGAGACACTTTTTTTTTCTTGTATGCAAACACATATTATAGTGACCACAGTGTTGTGAGAAGTTTAGTAATCCAGGAATCATAAGTTTTTAAAACCTGTTATTCCTCGATACAGGACACAAGCACATGCCTACTTGATTGGACATTATTTGTAATAAAACAGCAAATCATTTTATTCACAAACCGATTAAAACTTTCTGTGAATAAAAGGTTAGGAGTACAAGTAACACCTATACTTTCATATAAACTTAAGATCATACTAGCAAGCATATAAACCGAAGAGCAAAATTTCTAAAAGAAAAGATAAGGCTCTGATTTATTACCCATTATTCGTTTTAACTTCTCATAAGTACAATTCATATTTTTGACTTGTTTATTTTTGTTGCCAAAATCCTGTACTAATAGCTAAAAATAGAAATTGACTGAAAGTGATTTACACTGTAAAACAAGACGCTAATCTTCATTTGTAAATCCCTCCCAACAGAAAACGTTCAGTCATCAGACGCCACACTACGGAAGACAAAACAATGACAAATTCCAGTCATGGAGTCACAGCAGGTTAGTACACTAACAATAAATTAAAAAGCACCTGCTCAATCCCTATTAGACTGGAGGGGTGTGGCTACATGTGGGGGGAAAAAGTTTCTCTTTTATTTTCTTTCAAGTAATAAGAGATAAACATTCAACAGAACTTCTATCCAAAATACTAAAATTCACTCACACAAGCAATTAGTTCTACTTCGATTAATCCTTTGCTGTAATCTATTAATAGATGCTAAAAGAAAAATAGTTACACCGGTCTAAGGAGCAATTTCATTTCATTTCTCAGACGGTGGTAAGTTTATCAATAAGCCAAATTTAAAGGAGTTTTTTTTTTTTTCTACACCAAGTCTCCATTATAACAAACCTCCGTTTATCCATTAATCCACCTGTCACACATCGAGGGAGGAAGCTCTGACGGAGACCAGCTGACAAAATGTCAGCAACAGGTGTTTGTCAGGAGGAGCTCACAATGTCGTTCAACGGCAAATACAAATGAACAACTAAAGAGGCTCGAGTGGTGTGAAGAAGAGCGGCTCGAGTTAAAAAGTCAAGCACAAATAAAGTAAAGCAACCGGTTGGGTGAGTTGGTTGACAGATAATCCCATTCCCGTGACCGACCGGTGGGGAACCCGAGTTTGTTTATAGTTTAGACCTTAAAACAACGACGGGGGAAAAACAACCGGAGGAGCTCAGGTGAGCTGAGCTGTGGCTCAGACGGAATGTCTGCAAGTTAAAAATTATTTATAGGAGTTAAGAGTCGCCGCGGCATTAGAGCTCACCTTGGGACTCCGGAGGAGAGGTGTCGCTGCCATCCTGCTCCGCCATTTCTCCTGACGTCAGCTGAGAGGGATCAGCAGCAGGAACCAGAGGGACCTGATCCCTGCACAGGGCTGCGGTGACTTGGGGCCCCTCCCACGGACAGGTATGGGCTCATCATCTCATCATTCCAACTCTACCCCACCAAGAAAAAAACTGCGCTACTTAAGAAATAATAAATACACATAAAATCCATTAGAATTGTGCTTTCTGCAGAGAGAGAGAGAGAGAGAGAAAAAAAAACATATTTGAAATGATTTATGTTATTATACGCTTTCTGACACTCGGATTGGTCAGACACGATTTACTTTGAATGAAGAAAAGTCTATGGGGTTTGCAGACATTTTTATAAGAGGAAGGACCAGGTGAAATAGTTCTGGATTAAACGCACAATGTGTAAGAGCGCCATCTGGTGACTAGTAGAAGTGATTTCGGAAAACAATTCGAATTTAACATGGGAAAACCATGTTAAATTTCATTTTGTTTCAGTTGTGATTCATACAGATGATGCCCAACAAACCACATTCACGGACTCAGAGGGCGAAAGCAGCCATGTTGTCAACACACCTTACTGGCGTGCTTCTTGACATGGACTGTGGAAAGAGTTTGAGCCCACGTCGCATGAGTTCCTAACAAAATACATAACATACTGTTTGTGGTCGTAACTTTACAAAATAAGGAAAAGTTTCCTGTGATGGCAAGCCTCAATAATCCATGTTGCAAGTGTTTTCAATTGAAGTTCGCCATAGTACCAGCAGAGGGAGCCCTGTTCTCAATTTAGAAACCTTTCATTCATCAAAACAACATTCAGTGTCTTTTGTTGCTTCGGTATCTTTGTTATTTTTGGTTCTTTCATAAATTCAATCCGTACAGTACAGGAGGCAGGTGGTACAGATTTTGTTTAGATATGAAAAATGCTTGAGATCATTACAATCCAAAACATGTAAGAGACATAACAAAAGGACATTGCAATTAGACACAATGAGGCCCAAATATCACAAGTGCATGTCTGTTAATTTACTCTGCAATATTGGCAAAATGTTTTGCTGTTCCTGGATAATCTCTCTTAATATCCCTGCTTTTTAACCAGACTGTGTTGTTGTAGCCTCTTCTTTTACCCTGAGCAAAACAGGATTTGATTGGTGCAGAGAAATCTGGAGCCATGGCAACCAGCTGTTTGGCGATTTCTCAGATGGAGGAGGAGGAAGGAGGAGATTGGCCTGTAGGTATATAC